ATTGGTACCTTAGAGCCGAAGCTGATAGAGGAATTGGTACCTTAGAGCCGAAGCTGATAGAGGAATTGGTACCTTAGAGCCGAAGCTGATAGAGGAATTGGTACCTTAGAGCCGAAGCTGATAGAGGAATTGGTACCTTAGAGCCGAAGCTGATAGAGGAATTGGTACCTTAGAGCCGAAGCTGATAGAGGAATTGGTACCTTAGAGCCGAAGCTGATAGAGGAATTGGTACCTTAGAGCCGAAGCTGATAGAGGAATTGGTACCTTAGAGCCGAAGCTGATAGAGGAATTGGTACCTTAGAGCCGAAGCTGATAGAGGAATTGGTACCTTAGAGCCGAAGCTGATAGAGGAATTGGTACCTTAGAGCCGAAGCTGATAGAGGAATTGGTACCTTAGAGCCGAAGCTGATAGAGGAATTGGTACCTTAGAGCCGAAGCTGATAGAGGAATTGGTACCTTAGAGCCGAAGCTGATAGAGGAATTGGTACCTTAGAGCCGAAGCTGATAGAGGAATTGGTACCTTAGAGCCGAAGCTGATAGAGGAATTGGTACCTTAGAGCCGAAGCTGATAGAGGAATTGGTACCTTAGAGCCGAAGCTGATAGAGGAATTGGTACCTTAGAGCCGAAGCTGATAGAGGAATTGGTACCTTAGAGCCGAAGCTGATAGAGGAATTGGTACCTTAGAGCCGAAGCTGATAGAGGAATTGGTACCTTAGAGCCGAAGCTGATAGAGGAATTGGTACCTTAGAGCCGAAGCTGATAGAGGAATTGGTACCTTAGAGCCGAAGCTGATAGAGGAATTGGTACCTTAGAGCCGAAGCTGATAGAGGAATTGGTACCTTAGAGCCGAAGCTGATAGAGGAATTGGTACCTTAGAGCCGAAGCTGATAGAGGAATTGGTACCTTAGAGCCGAAGCTGATAGAGGAATTGGTACCTTAGAGCCGAAGCTGATAGAGGAATTGGTACCTTAGAGCCGAAGCTGATAGAGGAATTGGTACCTTAGAGCCGAAGCTGATAGAGGAATTGGTACCTTAGAGCCGAAGCTGATAGAGGAATTGGTACCTTAGAGCCGAAGCTGATAGAGGAATTGGTACCTTAGAGCCGAAGCTGATAGAGGAATTGGTACCTTAGAGCCGAAGCTGATAGAGGAATTGGTACCTTAGAGCCGAAGCTGATAGAGGAATTGGTACCTTAGAGCCGAAGCTGATAGAGGAATTGGTACCTTAGAGCCGAAGCTGATAGAGGAATTGGTACCTTAGAGCCGAAGCTGATAGAGGAATTGGTACCTTAGAGCCGAAGCTGATAGAGGAATTGGTACCTTAGAGCCGAAGCTGATAGAGGAATTGGTACCTTAGAGCCGAAGCTGATAGAGGAATTGGTACCTTAGAGCCGAAGCTGATAGAGGAATTGGTACCTTAGAGCCGAAGCTGATAGAGGAATTGGTACCTTAGAGCCGAAGCTGATAGAGGAATTGGTACCATAGAGCCGAAGCTGATAGAGGAATTGGTACCTTAGAGCCGAAGCTGATAGAGGAATTGGTACCTTAGAGCCGAAGCTGATAGAGGAATTGGTACCTTAGAGCCGAAGCTGATAGAGGAATTGGTACCTTAGAGCCGAAGCTGATAGAGGAATTGGTACCTTAGAGCCGAAGCTGATAGAGGAATTGGTACCTTAGAGCCGAAGCTGATAGAGGAATTGGTACCTTAGAGCCGAAGCTGATAGAGGAATTGGTACCTTAGAGCCGAAGCTGATAGAGGAATTGGTACCTTAGAGCCGAAGCTGATAGAGGAATTGGTACCTTAGAGCCGAAGCTGATAGAGGAATTGGTACCTTAGAGCCGAAGCTGATAGAGGAATTGGTACCTTAGAGCCGAAGCTGATAGAGGAATTGGTACCTTAGAGCCGAAGCTGATAGAGGAATTGGTACCTTAGAGCCGAAGCTGATAGAGGAATTGGTACCTTAGAGCCGAAGCTGATAGAGGAATTGGTACCTTAGAGCCGAAGCTGATAGAGGAATTGGTACCTTAGAGCCGAAGCTGATAGAGGAATTGGTACCTTAGAGCCGAAGCTGATAGAGGAATTGGTACCTTAGAGCCGAAGCTGATAGAGGAATTGGTACCTTAGAGCCGAAGCTGATAGAGGAATTGGTACCTTAGAGCCGAAGCTGATAGAGGAATTGGTACCTTAGAGCCGAAGCTGATAGAGGAATTGGTACCTTAGAGCCGAAGCTGATAGAGGAATTGGTACCTTAGAGCCGAAGCTGATAGAGGAATTGGTACCTTAGAGCCGAAGCTGATAGAGGAATTGGTACCTTAGAGCCGAAGCTGATAGAGGAATTGGTACCTTAGAGCCGAAGCTGATAGAGGAATTGGTACCTTAGAGCCGAAGCTGATAGAGGAATTGGTACCTTAGAGCCGAAGCTGATAGAGGAATTGGTACCTTAGAGCCGAAGCTGATAGAGGAATTGGTACCTTAGAGCCGAAGCTGATAGAGGAATTGGTACCTTAGAGCCGAAGCTGATAGAGGAATTGGTACCTTAGAGCCGAAGCTGATAGAGGAATTGGTACCTTAGAGCCGAAGCTGATAGAGGAATTGGTACCTTAGAGCCGAAGCTGATAGAGGAATTGGTACCTTAGAGCCGAAGCTGATAGAGGAATTGGTACCTTAGAGCCGAAGCTGATAGAGGAATTGGTACCTTAGAGCCGAAGCTGATAGAGGAATTGGTACCTTAGAGCCGAAGCTGATAGAGGAATTGGTACCTTAGAGCCGAAGCTGATAGAGGAATTGGTACCTTAGAGCCGAAGCTGATAGAGGAATTGGTACCTTAGAGCCGAAGCTGATAGAGGAATTGGTACCTTAGAGCCGAAGCTGATAGAGGAATTGGTACCTTAGAGCCGAAGCTGATAGAGGAATTGGTACCTTAGAGCCGAAGCTGATAGAGGAATTGGTACCTTAGAGCCGAAGCTGATAGAGGAATTGGTACCTTAGAGCCGAAGCTGATAGAGGAATTGGTACCTTAGAGCCGAAGCTGATAGAGGAATTGGTACCTTAGAGCCGAAGCTGATAGAGGAATTGGTACCTTAGAGCCGAAGCTGATAGAGGAATTGGTACCTTAGAGCCGAAGCTGATAGAGGAATTGGTACCTTAGAGCCGAAGCTGATAGAGGAATTGGTACCTTAGAGCCGAAGCTGATAGAGGAATTGGTACCTTAGAGCCGAAGCTGATAGAGGAATTGGTACCTTATAGCCGAAGCTGATAGAGGAATTGGTACCTTAGAGCCGAAGCTGATAGAGGAATTGGTACCTTAGAGCCGAAGCTGATAGAGGAATTGGTACCTTAGAGCCGAAGCTGATAGAGGAATTGGTACCTTAGAGCCGAAGCTGATAGAGGAATTGGTACCTTAGAGCCGAAGCTGATAGAGGAATTGGTACCTTAGAGCCGAAGCTGATAGAGGAATTGGTACCTTAGAGCCGAAGCTGATAGAGGAATTGGTACCATAGAGCCGAAGCTGATAGAGGAATTGGTACCTTAGAGCCGAAGCTGATAGAGGAATTGGTACCTTAGAGCCGAAGCTGATAGAGGAATTGGTACCTTAGAGCCGAAGCTGATAGAGGAATTGGTACCTTAGAGCCGAAGCTGATAGAGGAATTGGTACCTTAGAGCCGAAGCTGATAGAGGAATTGGTACCTTAGAGCCGAAGCTGATAGAGGAATTGGTACCTTAGAGCCGAAGCTGATAGAGGAATTGGTACCTTAGAGCCGAAGCTGATAGAGGAATTGGTACCTTAGAGCCGAAGCTGATAGAGGAATTGGTACCTTAGAGCCGAAGCTGATAGAGGAATTGGTACCTTAGAGCCGAAGCTGATAGAGGAATTGGTACCTTAGAGCCGAAGCTGATAGAGGAATTGGTACCTTAGAGCCGAAGCTGATAGAGGAATTGGTACCTTAGAGCCGAAGCTGATAGAGGAATTGGTACCTTAGAGCCGAAGCTGATAGAGGAATTGGTACCTTAGAGCCGAAGCTGATAGAGGAATTGGTACCTTAGAGCCGAAGCTGATAGAGGAATTGGTACCTTAGAGCCGAAGCTGATAGAGGAATTGGTACCTTAGAGCCGAAGCTGATAGAGGAATTGGTACCTTAGAGCCGAAGCTGATAGAGGAATTGGTACCTTAGAGCCGAAGCTGATAGAGGAATTGGTACCTTAGAGCCGAAGCTGATAGAGGAATTGGTACCTTAGAGCCGAAGCTGATAGAGGAATTGGTACCTTAGAGCCGAAGCTGATAGAGGAATTGGTACCTTAGAGCCGAAGCTGATAGAGGAATTGGTACCTTAGAGCCGAAGCTGATAGAGGAATTGGTACCTTAGAGCCGAAGCTGATAGAGGAATTGGTACCTTAGAGCCGAAGCTGATAGAGGAATTGGTACCATAGAGCCGAAGCTGATAGAGGAATTGGTACCTTAGAGCCGAAGCTGATAGAGGAATTGGTACCTTAGAGCCGAAGCTGATAGAGGAATTGGTACCTTAGAGCCGAAGCTGATAGAGGAATTGGTACCTTAGAGCCGAAGCTGATAGAGGAATTGGTACCTTAGAGCCGAAGCTGATAGAGGAATTGGTACCTTAGAGCCGAAGCTGATAGAGGAATTGGTACCTTAGAGCCGAAGCTGATAGAGGAATTGGTACCTTAGAGCCGAAGCTGATAGAGGAATTGGTACCTTAGAGCCGAAGCTGATAGAGGAATTGGTACCTTAGAGCCGAAGCTGATAGAGGAATTGGTACCTTAGAGCCGAAGCTGATAGAGGAATTGGTACCTTAGAGCCGAAGCTGATAGAGGAATTGGTACCTTAGAGCCGAAGCTGATAGAGGAATTGGTACCTTAGAGCCGAAGCTGATAGAGGAATTGGTACCTTAGAGCCGAAGCTGATAGAGGAATTGGTACCTTAGAGCCGAAGCTGATAGAGGAATTGGTACCTTAGAGCCGAAGCTGATAGAGGAATTGGCACCTGACAGCCGAAGCAGGGACATGGCGAAGTGTGCACCGATGGCAGGGGTAACGAGATGTGCTGAGAGAGTGTTTTCCCTGCAGGATGGTGATGGAGGGTGAGGGAGGCGAGATGTGCAGAGCTGGAAATTCATCCCACCGCCGCCCCAAATTTACAAATTCGCATACTGGCAAAGGTCTACTCTCATGCACAATTTCTCACCCATCCAGATTGGCATCTTGAAAATTCAACGGTTTACAGTTTACTCCCCAGAAAGGGATCTCACCCACCCATCAAATTCACTCACATATTTGCAGACTCAAGGATACCCATATATCCCGGTTTACTCGCTGGAAATTCAACGTTCTTGTGTGATGGAGGTAGGGTTTCTCGCAACCGTGCTGCAAGGTCGACTTAAGTCATACTATATCTACTCAGGGGTCATTTTGGGTTACCCGAAACCAACCATCCAGGCAGCGGGCTGAAGACTCGGCTTTCTGGTGTGATCAGGGCATGGTCCCTCGCCACCACGCTGCGAGTGAATCCGGGCAGGACTGGAAAGGAGAAAAAAGGCGTAACAAAACCAGTAAGGAAACACATCTGTTCTGATGCATGCAGAGATGACAATATGAAACAGAAAGGACCTCATCCCGTAAGTGAGAGTGTTATTGCATCGTTTTTAGTTCGAAAACCAATACCACGAAAATAATGCAAGAACTTGAATACAAGACGCGCAAAAGCGATCCTGTAGGGATCCGAAACAGAGGCACGCACCTTCCATGTGGACCGTGTCTAGGGTGGGTTCCAGAACCTTCTCATACATGCCATTACCGCTCCCTGTGCCTGTCAATACGGGACGACAGGATATAAGTGCAAGAATGTCTTGCAATGTGACGTTAAAGTAGACTTAGAAGTCAGCTTTGATTCTTCTCATACATGCCACTACCACTCCGTGTGCCTGTCAATACGGGACGACAGGATATACGCGCGGAATGCAAAGCGATCCGGACGAAGCAGACGACCTTCTCTAGAAATCGCTCTAGTAAGTTTAGACGAAAAAATATGCTCCATTTGGGCGAGAAAGGGCGACTCCGTGTTGTCCTACCATCGGCAACGGCTTCGGAACCCTGCAGGATAATTGCGAGCGCGAAAGCTGACAGTGTTGCTAGAAGGTGACAGGCATGAAGAGATTTGAGCGCCATAGTCTGGAGCTAGTAAATTGGCGCGGCCACTAGAGACAAATCCAGTTCTGTGTGACGACTTCTGCAATCTAGCCAATAAACGGTGCAGGTGCGTTGCAGAAGCGTGGTCTACTCAAACTCCAAAAATTCGGCCACAATCCGTCGGGCCGTATCTGCGAAGGTAACCAGCTTGCGACAATCGTAAGTCAAGTGGTGAACGTCGCAAATTTCGTTAAAATTTTACGAATTTGATGGCCGTTGAAAAAGTCGACACGAAAACGACGCCGAGTCGACTCCAAAACGGCCAAGTATTCGACACAGTGTGCGACAAACGCCTTCGACGTCGCACGGTATCGCCCAACGACAGAATTTGTGATCGCGTCAAATGAGAAATATCGCCGTCAATAGTGCGACCCCGTCGCACATACTAAACTACTGTAGTAACTGCAAATTTAACAACTTTTCCGAACCAGCCTGCAATCCGGCCACCAAAGTTGTTAAATTGCCAAAACTTTAAAGCTCGCGTCTCAGATTTCCAACCTTTTAACACTTGGTTGGGTTTTCCCGTCTGTGATTGGGTAACGAATGACGAATTATTTGACGAGTGGGTGAAAAAAACACAGCGAACTCCCAAACAGTCGAGGCCAAAACAAACCAGGGTGGGTTGGTTTGGGTGGAAAACGAGCCAAGGGGGACAGGTTTGGTCCCGGGTTCTGTCAACGTTGAGTTCAGAGTCTCATATTTTCGAGAGTTGTTAACACTTGGTGTGCACGGGGAAGTGTGCGACAGCCAACTTTCCCAACCCACCCCTTGCTTTGGTGTGCTTTGCGACAAACTCTGCTGTTACCGGATTCCAACCGTTTAACACTTGGTTGGATGGCAGAAATATAGACGCGAGCTTTAAAGAGTCGACTCTGATTCGGCCACCTCGTCGTTGTTCGCGAAAAATATGACGACCATTTGGTCGTAAAAAATTCGGCCACACCCTATTTTCGGAATTGTGTGGCGATTTAACACGCCCTTAGCTAAAAGATGTCAGTCGCAAAAATGATATTAAATTTCATGCTATGTAAATGCTGCAAATAGTGTCGAAGGTGTATTTTCCATTGCTGCCTATTCCAGGACTTGGCACAATAAAGACTGTGTCAGGGCTGGTTCATGAGTCAAATCATTCTTGCCAGCCTAACCCCTGCACTCAGTGGCATGCTCAGCTTCGGTACAAGAAGTATTCATAAAGATGCCGGCTTTGTGTCACGAAGTCGTGTGGAGTTTCGATTCAAACTAGCCCTTGAACTCGTGTTCAATAATTATTAGAACAAAGCCTCGAATAAAATTCGTCCCTTTCCTTCGATGTTGCCGCTGTCAAACTAGCAAGAACACCACTCATTTTAGTTGTCTTGTGTTAAGGGAGGATTTACTGTTCCCTTTGAACAGTACTTTCCAACTCACCCTTATCCTTATCTTCCTTGATTTCCTTGTGCCACGTGGCACTCTACTTTTCTTGCTTCTACTTTCTAGTCCCACGAAGTACTTTCCGACATTCGACCTTGCATGTTATATCATCCTTGCTTGTATCCACCAATATCAATCAATTCTCATTCAACTCTTAAATTATTTGGTTACTTCTTCGCCTATTTCGCCAACACTCTCTTTCGCCAAAGTATTCCGCCGCGTTTATCCTCGACTTAGTCAACCCCGCTAATTTTTAGCGGATTTAGGCCAGCGGGCCTAACACTTGGTATCAGAGCCTTCGCGGGGAGCGACTTCCAACGAGTGACCGTCGTGTGAGAATCACGAGGAATCAAATGACTAAGGGAAAAGTTGGGTACAAGTACAAACCCTAGAAATGTGTTGTACCCCATATGTGCTACCCCACTATAGCCTACATAGGCTACGTCATATAAGCCTAACACACCCCCATAGGCAAAGTGGGGGAGAACAAGGGGTCACAAGACCAGTCAAGCAAAGCAAAGCAAGCTCAGGGTGGATCACAACGTCACCACACAGTCCGAGCACAAGAGCAAGGCCACAAGGCCAGTTCACATGCAAGATCATATATAAAGGTAAACAAGCAAGTGCAGGTATAGAAAGATCACAGTACAAGCAAGGTCAAGAAGTGAGCAAGTGAGGCCAAGTAGGCACAAGACCTAGCATCGTACAGAAGCGCTGATGATCACAAGGCGGAAGTGCCTTGGTAAAGATATCAGCAGTGTTGGCCTCAGAGGCCACGTAAGCAAGGCGCAGCTGACCACGCTGCTGCAGCTCACGAGCAAGGAAGTAGCGAAGAGCAATGTGCTTCGTTCAGTGCTCCAGTCTGTGCTCCCGACACAAGGCCAGAATGGCCTTGTTGTCTACGTACAGAACTGGAGGAGAACGAGGCGGCTCTCCTAGGTCAGTCAGCAGGTAGGTGAGCCAGCGTAGCTCCTGTGCAGCCATGGCCCCCGCGTAGATCTCAGCCTCACAACTGGAGCCGAGAACAGAAGACGAGCGGGTAGACCGCCACGAAACAGAGCCGGAGCCAAGGCTGAAGGTGTAACCCTGTGACGACCGCTGCGTAGCCTGGTCGTCAGCCCAAGAAGCGTCTGCGTGACCTGTGAGGACCACTCGACGTCGCCCTCCAAGCACTAGCCCCATGCCCGACGTACTGCACAAGTATCGCAACACCCTCTTCGCTGCAGCCATGTGCTCTGGTCGGTGTCTCCCAGGAGCAACATAGCGTGCCAAGATGCTAAGAGGGTATGCGAGGTCAGGTCGTGTGCAGGTCATCAAGTACATGAGGCAGCCAACAAGCTCTGGGTACGGGCCACTCGGCTCTACGGACTCATCCGAAGGCAGAGCTGAGAGCGAGTGGCGAGTAGACAGAGGAGTGGCCTGAGGCAAGGAGTACGTGAAGTCGAAGCGCTGAAGGACCTGCTGCACCATGTGTGACTGAGTCAGGGTAATGGTGCGTTGTGCTCTGTCCCGGGTGATCTGCAAGCCAAGGTAGCTGCGCAGTTCACCCAGGTCTGTGCACGTGTGTCTCTTCTGCAGCTCGGACTTCACGTGGGCGAGTCCAGCAGTGTCAGCAGTGGCAAAGACCAAGTCGTCGACGTACACGAGGATGTAGAACGGCGGCAAAGAGGTGTCGGTGCGCAGAAACAGCGACGGGTCGGCAGTAGAAGGAGCAAACCCAAGAGCCGCAAGTGTAGTCCTCAGTGTGTCGTGCCACTCACGGGGCGCCTGGCGGAGACCGTAGACTGGCCGCCGGAGGCTCCACTGGGTACCAGGAGGAAACGACCCAGTGAAGCCAGGTGGGCGGCGCAGCCAGATCTCCTCGTGCAGGCTGCCCTGCAAGAAAGCTGTGCTGAAGTCAAGAGAGTGAAGCTCGTAGTCGCGCTGAGCGGCTATGTGCAGCAGCACCCGAAGAGTGGTCATCTTCGGGGTGGGAGAGAAGGTCTGAAAGTAGTCAACTCCCTGCCGCTGACTGAAGCCTCGAGCCACGTAACGCGCCTTGAAGACAGGCGGAGAACCCGGCGGCCGCTTCACCCTGAAAATCCACATGCCACTGACGATGTTCGCCCCAGGTGGGGGAACCTCGTCGACGTAGGTGCCTGTGGACTTCCAGGAAGCCATCTCTGCGTCCATGGTTGACTGCCACTGTGAGGAGTAGGGACCCTCGATCGCCTCAGCGTACGATCGAGAAGTCGGGATGTCTGGTGCATCCGGGTCTCCCTCAGGGGCAATCAGCATGGACACGAGATGAGGCAAAGCAGCAGCAAAACACTGGAACTCCTCCTGCCTGTCCTCAAGGACGTCCATGCTAAGAGCACACTCACCCCCGACGGACGGAGGACAGACAGACTCAGACTCAGCAACAAGACTAGCGGCGTAGTCTAGACGACAGCGAGCAGCAAAGTCGACGAGCTCAGCAAACAAGGCAGACGCAGCAGTGGACTCAAAGGAAGGGTCAGTGACAACAGTAGCTAGGAGACGCGTGACTGTAGGACTGGCAACACGAAGAGAGTCAGACTCCGGGTCAGCAAGAACAGGAAGAGAGGACTCTGGAGGAGACGGCAACGGGACACGCAGAGGAGCAGTGGAAGGACGCAGTGCCATCTGGTGTGTGCCTGGGACCGCAGGAGGACGCGGACGCGGAGCACGACTACTAGTGCGAGCAGCACGAACAGGCGACGCAGGACGAGACGCAGGCTCACGACGCTCAGCAAGACCTCCAGTAGGACCAGTGTAGGGAGAAGGAGCAGGCAGGGGGGAGGCGGGCTGTAACTGTGACCGCGACTGGACAGGCTGTGGACCCTCTAAGGGAGGAGCAGGACCAGTAGAGGGCGGGAGACCAAGAACCTGCTGAAGGAGCGGAACGAAGTACGGCCTCGGCCGCGCAGCGCCTCCAGAACCAGCAGGGACAGCACCAGTACCCCCAGCGGCAGCACCAGCGCCATCAGCACCTCCAGCTCCAGCAGCGCCAACTCCAGCACCCTCAGAAGCACCAGCGCCAGCAGAACCACCAGCGCCAACACCCCCAGCAGCTCCAGCTCCAGCAGCTCCAGCAGCTCCAGCAGCACCAACTCCAGCAGGACCGTCAGCTCCAGTACCGCCAGCAGCTCCAGCAGTACCTCCAGCAGGACTAACTCCAGCAGCCCCAGCAGCACCCCCAGTCCCAGCAGCTCCAGTACCGCTAGTACGAGCACCTCCAGGACCAGCAGCAACAGTAGTACCTCCAGCTCCAGCAGCACGGCTCCAGCGCCGGGCAAACCACTCGCGCAGCTCCTGCGGAGAGAGTAGCTCCCGCCTTGACGAAGCACCGCCAGAGGCCACACGAGCAGACCCAGCACCCCCAGGCTCCGCACCCCCAGACTCTGCACCCCCAGGCTCAGCACCCCCAGGCTCCGCATTCCCAGGCGCAGCACCCCCAGGCTCCGCACCTCCAGGCTCAGCACCCCCAGACTCAGCACCCTCAGGCCCAGCACCTCCAGACTCAGCACCCCCAGGCTCAGCACCCCTAGCAGCACCAGAGTCAACAGCTA